GGAAAGTTGTGAAGGATTTTATGTAAATTCTTATCATTGGTTTGCATCGCTGAGGGGGATAAAACAGTTGTCATGAAGCAGGAGACAGAGCAAAGCATGAACATGTTATTTCACCAGAATTCGTATAAATGGTGGCTCCTGTAGGTAGCAGGGAGCCCGTGGATGTTTCTGAGCACGGAAACAACGTGAAGAAAGCGTTTTGGGAGATGACTGAGGTCCTGCTGTCTTTCCAGGGACAGTGGTGCAACGCGGACATCTGCCAGCCTTGACACATCCCTCTCCCCGCCCACCCCAGTGCCTCAGCACTTTGCTGGCTTGTGAGTCTAGAAGAGTCACCTAACCTTCCTTCTGAACCTCTAAGGGCTTGGCAAAGAAGCGAAGAAGCAGGACACAGCGTAAGTCCTTACACAATCTATGTAAACTGGGAATTTCAGAGATGAGGTGTTTGGCTCCGACCCTTAAATGTGACATACTTTATTCATTTTTAGTTAAAGTATATAGTCAGTTACAATGCGTCAGTTTCTGGTGAACAGCGTAACGTCCCAGTCATGCAGATACATACATATATTCATTTTCATAAATGTGATAAACTTTAATTTTCTTTTTAAAACTTTTTTAATTTTAAAAAAATTTTAATTTTTTAATTAATTTTAAATTAAAAAATTATTTAAAAAAATTTTAGCATACTTTTATTTTCTACTCTCACTTCCCTCTTTCCTCAGCCACCATCACCTTTGGAAATCCACCTGTTCATTTGCTATTGCTGCTGGAAGAAGGAGGGAAAGGGGAGGGATCTGTGAGGAGCAGAAATGTTTTCTGGACTCAGAATACAGCTGGATTCATATATAAAGAACCTAGCTGTAGAAGTTAAGGAGCCGGCGGGGAGGGTTTGGCTCAGTGGCAGAGCATGTGCTTAGCATGCACGAGGTCCTGAGTCCCACAAAAATAAAATTAAATAAAAGTAGTATCTGCTCTGCTTTTCCGTCCATGTTTCACGAGACCCAAACGAATCCATGAATATGAAATTAGTTTGTGATTTATAAGTTGCGATACAGACATGAGTGTTAGTAGCATAATCAAATTTCCTCAGTCTGTTGACGTGTTTCACTTCTGTGGTTCTATCCAGCTAGAGATTGACCATCTAAACATGAAGCTGGGGCTTTGATGTGCTCCTGTACCTGCAGGAAAGCAGGCTCCCCTCTCTCAGCTCTTCAGGGCAGGTGACTGAGGGAATCTCGTGGCCTCAAAATCATACAAGGAAGGAATCACTGTCTGTTCCCACCCTGTTCCATTCTAGTCCCATTAGAATCAGGGAGGTCTCTCCAAACTCAGTTCCTTCCTCTGCGTCTTCAGCAATTTCCTCCTGCTCCGTCTCCAGCCCCCTGGGGGATGGTGCGAAAGGAGTCCAGACAACAGGTAATGACAGTTTTACCTGGCATTCAGAGGCCTCTTTATCACAGCAGGTCCAAGTCCTGATTCTGGAATTTTTCAGAGAGGCATATGGCATGAGACCGAGACAAAGGGAGGAGGTAATCAGCAAAACCCACAAAAGCCACAGAGACGTGATGTAGATCAGAAATGGACACATTGTAATTGACTTTACTTCAATTAAAAAAAAATCTCTTAAGTGACAGAGATAAAGAGAGGCACTAGGGAGAAAAGAGCCAGACACACCAAGATAGACAAATAGACAGAGAAACGCAGAGACAGCAAAGGTACAGACTAGGGAAGAGGCGGGTGAAGACAGACAGAGTAACAGTCAGAGAATTAGAGACAAAGGAAAGAAACAGATGGGGAGAGAAAGATAAATCAAGCGAGAAAAACAAAGTGAAGAGAGACACAAAGAAAGACTGAAATCGAGTAAGTTCGGAGTCAGAGAGAGAGACCATGGGCAAACAAGGAGAAAGAAAAAATTGAGTTCTTTGCTTTTTTTAATCACTAATTTTTTTATTGAATTATAGTCAGTTTACAATGTTGTGTCAATTTCTAGCGTACAGCATAGTGCTTCAGTCATACATATACACACATATATTCCTTTTCATATTCTTTTTCATTATAAGTTACTATGAGGTATTGAACAGAGTTCCCTGTGCTATCATGAAGAAACTTGTTGTTTATCTATTTTATATATAGTAGTTAGTGTCTGCAAATCCAAAACTTCTAATTTATCCCTCCCTCTTTGGTAACTATAAGTCTGTTTTCTGTGTCTGTGAGTCTGTTTCTGTTGTGTACATAAGTTCATTTGTGTCATTTTTTTTTTAGATTCCACGTATAAGTGATATCATATAATATTTAGCTTTCTCTGTGTGACTTACTTCACTTAGTATGATATTCTCTGAATCTATCCATGTTACTGCA